GCCAGACTGCATTCCTCCAGGAGAAGAAGGAAGGAAGAAAGAATATTCTGTCTCAGCTAAGCTCCTCAAGTATATTATGAACCTGATACTCTTAAGGCATCCAAGTCAGGTTCTGACCCTGGTGGAGTCTTGCATAGATCCCAGCAGACAGACACCAACCTTGACTTTCCTTTTAATTCAGTCACTGGGTGACCTTGGCCAAGTCATTGTTTCATTATCATAGAGACTCTGGGTTTGCTGACCTCCTCTTTCCCTGCTAAGGATCTCCTGGGTGGGATGGAGTGGTATCCTATGCAGATAGGCAGCTGGGGATGGGAAAGCTGATGAACAGCGTGCAAGGCACAAATGTTAGGTGGGAAGGAGAGCCTTGTTTGGTGTTACCCTTGAGAGACTGGGATCCCCGGGGAGTCTCAAGGCATGAAGCCAGTACACCAGGAGGTAGTGGGTGACGCTCCAGGACCTGTGCCCAGGGCTCTTGTCTGCCACTCTGGTGCTTGTTTTGCTACCTGCCTTGGAAAGTCTTTCATCCCCTCTGCCTTCTCGAACGGTTGTTGGCTTCACGTAAACAATTCAGTGAGGTCATGCCATCAGAAGGCAAGGCACGCTGGTTTGCTATGCTTTTCATTTGAGACTCACTCTAAACACTGCTGAAGACTTTGGGCATCTTGCCATGATGGGGGTGGTGGCAGGGGTGGCGGTGGTGGTGAAGAATTGAGCTGTTTATAAGAGCAGTTTCCCGTTGGTACCATGAAGCATGCAATAGCCCAGAAGGGCAGAATTCTGTCTGCACCCTGTTTCATTGGCCTCTGGCCTGGAGGGCCGTTATAGGGTTTGGACCACACATTAAAACAACGTATTGCTTGTCTCTAAGTAGAGACCACACTGTTGCTCAGCCCACATAAATGGCAAAGTCTGTGTTTGAATCCAGAACTAACTTTCATCTCTAACCTACTCATTCTAGGAGCCCCTCATGGGTTAGGACTGGATTTTGGCTCTCTCACTTGTAGCTCTGTGATCTCGGGCAAGTTTTTTCACTTTGGTTTCCTCATTTGTAGGTCAGGGACAATCGCACCTGCCTCATAGAGGTAGAGGAGATAATGTGTAAAAATGTTTAACACAGCACCTGGCACCGAGCAAGCGCTCAGTACATGTAACCACTGCTACTCCCACCTCCTTCTAGTAATTGGGAAACAGAAATAGGACAAATGGGGAGACGGGAATTGAACTCAGGCAGATATTTATCACCACACTATAGAATATGCACCTTGCATCACCTGGCAGAGCACATCGCCTTTCTTGCTTGAGGGTTGGAACACGGAGCCCACGTTCCCCAACACGGTATCTCTAAATTGTTTTGATCATACACTCTGTCAGTAAAATAATTTTAAGTAGTCCTCCTTAGTTATGTGCATTCCCTTATTTGTAAATTGCACACATGTACCAATGTATTATCAAGTACGTATAAAACATGTAAGATAAAATTTTTAAAAAACTGAGATAAAAGTAAATATCAAGAGAAGCTCTAATATTTCCTCCCTTTTTTTGGTGACCTCAGTGCTTGTCTGTCGGTGGGATGGGGGGGCTTAGGAGAGGTTGTCCTGTTAGGCCCCCTGTTGCTTCCTTCCTAAAGCAGTCATGGGATTTTAGTTACATTTTTTTTATTATGGTTAATTTAATTAACTCATGTATGCACACAAATGATAATAATGATAAGACATTAGAGTCTTCAGACCTGAAGCTTGGAAGCTCTCTACTGGAGTCTCACTGCCTCTCAAGAATAAGGAGCTTCTCTTAGTCTCCTCTACCTGGACTCCTCAAACCTACACTTTTGGTTTTTGAACTTTTAATTGGACTATACTCAAACACTGTCATCACTGGTTCTGCCGCTTACTGTGTTGCCTCTGTTCAGATGTGATATGGCAACAGTAGGTCCAGGTCTGTGCATTTCTAGCTTCAAGTTCCAAAGTAAAGAGACTTCTTCTCCAAAGTCAAACAAACAAAAAGCCCCCAAATTGAGTCTTGATGGCTCTGATGGCCTGTTTGCGTCACTGCTCGTCATGGAACCACTCACATAGGAGATCAGCTTAGGCCTGGGTGATATGTCCAACCCGTGGGAGGAGGTGAGGTGAATCAGCCCTGCTCAAGTCAAATGGACAAAGAGTGAAGGCAGATTGATTCTTCAGAAGGAACTGGGGGTAAAATTACCTGGTTGGTAAAAATCCTGGGTGCTGGAAATCAAATTCAGCCGTTGTCTACTACCCTTGTTGCCTCAGTGCTAAGGCCAGAAATGCTGGAATGATTCTCGAGTTTTTATTATTCCTCACCCTCCCCATCCATCAATTATGACAGCCCATCAATTCTACATCCTGAGTCCCTTCCCAACCTACTTTATCAGTGCTGTTGCCATTCCAGTCCAAGTGAACATTAACTCATCCTTTGACTCTTGAAATATTTCCTTATGCCCTCTTCCTTTTCTCTAAACTCTAAAAATAACAGCAGTAATAACTCATATTTGTTGAAGACTTACTGAATCCCCCAGCACTGGCAAAGCACTGTGCATTCACGATCTCATTCAGTTCTCAGAACATCTCTGTGAAGTAAATAACTGCCACAGTCCCCATTTCTTTTTCTTTTTTTTTATTCTTATGTTAATCCGCATACATTACATCATTAGTTTTAGATGAAGTGTTCCATGATTCATTGTTTGTGCATAACACCCAGTGCTCCATGCAGAATGTGCCCTCCTCAATACCTACCACCAGGCTAACCCATCCTCCCACCCCCCTCCCCTCTAGAACCCTCAGTTTGTTTTTCAGAGTCCGTCGTCTCTCATGGTTCGTCTACCCCTCCGATTTCCCCCACTTCATTCTTCCCCTCCCGCTACCTTCTTCTTCTTCTTTTTATTTTTTTCTTAACATATATTGCATTATTTGTTTCAGAGGTACAGATCTGAGATTCAACAGTCTTGCAAATTCACAGCGCTTACCAGAGCACACACCCTCCCCAGTGTCTATCACCCAGTCACCCCATCCCTCCCACCCCACCCCCCCCAGTCCCCATTTCTTCATACTCAAAATTCTTCAATGGCTTCCCCTTTCCCTACATGCCTGGTATCTATTATGATGTAACAAGGTACTCCAAACATGAATCATCTTGAAAACAATACAGCCATTTGTTTACATGAAGAATCTACAATTTGGGCAGGGTTCAGCAGGGAGGACTTATCTCTGTTCCTTGCAGCATCAGCTGAAATGGCTTGACTAGGGGACAGAGAATCTACTTCCAAGATGACTCACTTATATGGCTTGCAAGTTAGTACTGGCTACCATCTGCAAGCTCAGCTGGGGCAAAGGGCCAGAGACCTCAGTTCCTGTCCATATGGCCGCACTACGTGGGCTTCTCGAGAGTCTGCTTGGGCTTCCTCACAATGTGGTGGCTGGGTTCTGAAAGTGTCCCAAAAGACACGAAGTGGAAGGTGCCATTTCTTTTTTTCTTTTTTTTTTTTTTAAAGATTTTATTTATTTGCGAGAGAATGAGAGACAGAGAGCATAAGAGGGAGGAAGGTCAGAGGGAGAAGCAGACTCCCTGCTGAGCAGGGAGCCCGATGCGGGACTCGATCCCAGGACTCCAGGATCATGACCTGAGCCGAAGGCAGTCACTTAACCAACTGAGCCACCCAGGTGCCCGAAAGGTGCCATTTCTTAAGACCTGCCCCCAGAATCTGGCACAGCATCAGAGAGCCCAGACTCGAGGCGAGTGACCTGGAGCTCCTTTCGATGGGAAGCGTATCAAAGAATTTTGGGTCAAGTTTTGGAGCTGCCACATCCTAACTGTAAAAATTCACAAAATGAACTGAAGGTCTTTCCACGATTTGGTATTTATTAGCCGATCCGTTATCGCATTCCACGATAAAAGCTGTCTGTGTACAATGACCTTCTTTCAGTTCCTCCAAGAACTATGTTCTCTCTCACCTCAGTGCCATTGCACCTGCCATTGTCACCCACCCAAAATGCTTTCCCCATCTGTACGCAATCTCCTAGTTTCAGAGCTCAGCAGAAAAGATCTCTCCCAGGATGAGTCTGGGTTAAGCTCTTCTGTTTTAAGCTCTCATACAGTTCCTGGCTCACAGTAGTAGGTGGGCCAGAAGTAAATTTTGAAAAAAAGAAATGATGGAATGAATGAGAACATTCACTGCCCCTTCAGTCTGAAACTCCTTTCCTGTCTCTATGTCTTCTCACAATGCACCCCAGCCCTACTCAACTTCTAGGTTTTAGGTGGATGGACTCTGTATCTTGCAGCATTTCGATTCTTCTTAAAATCCCATCTCCTCCAGGAAGGTGATGCTTTTCCTTAGAAACTGCTCAGGATAAACACGCAGCTTTCAGGACTCACTGAATCCATTGCTTGTATGAATGGAAAGTCTTGAGTGCTTGTTTTTATGGGACCTTTGTCTAATGGTCAGAGTGTCCCTATCAGTATTGTCACTATTTACTCTGAAGCTCCTGGAAGGCAGGCACCATCTCTCTGACTCATTCTCCTCTCTATTTATAGAAACAGATGGCCTGATGACCAGCAGAGTGATGCTGAATTTTAATAGGCAGAGGGTACAAAATGAACAAAGACTAAGTGGGTTGGGTGTTCTCTCTGTCGTCTGGTAGGAACAACTTGGCTTTCATCAATTTCTGGTCAGGGAAAGACACAGATCTTATAATGGAAAACATACTGGACAGGAAGCCAGAGTTCTGGTTTACCACCATCGGGGCTGTCACTGAGCCAGTCTGGGAATTGTCTCCTTACCCATAAAGCAAGGGCACTTAGACAAGAGGGTGACTAGGGCTGTTTCAGTTACAGTGATGGTGATTCTGACAGTGGTGCAGTCATGGCACACAAGTCCAGCTTTGCTCCTTTTGATCTCTGTGACCTCAGGCAGGTGACTTCACCTCTTTGAGGCTCGCTTTTATCATCTATAATCTGGAAATAATAGTTTTTCCCTCATAAAGCTATTTTGAGAATTCAAATGAGACAAACTATTCAAAGTGTTTAGGTTATGGTAAGCACTAATTAATTAATTAAACAAATGGCCATTGAGAACTGCTTACAGGAGCATGTGGTACAGTGGAATGGTTATGATCTTGACCTTGGAGTTAGATAATACATGAGTTTAAATACTGGTTTTGGGGCATCTGGGTGACTCAGTCAGTTAAGCGTCTACCTTTGGTTCAGGTCATGATCTCAGGGTCCTGGGATCAAGCCTTGCATTAGGCTCCTTGCTCAGTGGGGATCCTGCTTCTCCTTCTCCTTCTGCCCCTTCCCCCTGCTCATGCTCTCTCTCTCTCTCTCTCAAATAAATAAATAAATAAATAAATAAATAAATAAATAAATAAATAAAGTATTTTAAAAATATAAATACTGGTTTCATCATTTACTATTGACCTTGGGCAAATGACATCCTTTCTGAACTTCAGTGTTCTCTAGAATGACGGCAAAAGATGAGAACCTAGTCCCTTATTGTGATTGTCATTGTGATGATTCAATAAGATGTAGTATATAAAATGTTTATCATGGTGCCTACTGTATGATATATGCTCAACAGATAAAAGCTGTTTTTAAAATTATTATGACAAATAATTACTCTTCCTCAGGGAATAATCTGCATATCAGTTGGGTTGGTATGCAGAGGGAACATGTAGAGGAATCCTGGGAGATGTTTAGAGAAGATAGGCTGTGATCATATGTGGTGGTTCTTGAATGCCCAGATGAAGATTTGGGATTTTATTCCACTGGCAATGATAAGCCACTGAAGAATTTCAGGTTTTGGAAAAGATAATGTCAATGTATAGAAGATACTGAAGAGAAGACATACTGGAAATGGGGAGACATCATTAATTCACTCATTCATTCATTCATTCATTCAATCACCTGACAATTACGAAGCCCTTACATGCCAGGCACTCACTGGTGAGGATGCAGAGAAGGACAGATCATTAAACAATACTTAAAGTATAACAAGTGCCAGAAGAGAGAAGCATCTCACTCAGATTTTTCGAGGGATCCAAACATTTTTCCAGAAGGAAGTGATATTTAAATGGAGACCCAAAGTATAAAGAAGGGGAAGAGCATCCTAGGCAGAAGTTTCAAGTGCCAGGGATACCTAGGCCAGAGAGAGCAAGGTGAGTGGAGAGCTTGAAAGATATTCAATCTTTAAGATAAAAGGTAAAGAGAAGCAGAACTAGGGTGATGAACACAGAGATAGAAAAGAGAGGATGACTGCGTGTATCATGTGGTGATCAAAGCTATAAAATTTGATGGCAACTGGGCATGGGGGAGACATAGGAGTCAAGGGTGACGTTCATGTGATACCCCTTACCGTGCGAGAGAGGCCTTACTTCAGTTTGCCTTTTACCTCTTTAGGGTGTGTGCTGGATTTTGCTGTGTCAGCTTTGCTTAGTTGGGAATGACATATGGTTCCCTTTTGGGTCTTAGGCCGGAGTTGTGCAAAAGAGGAACTTGTACAAGATTTGGAAGGTGGAAGTGAAGCGGTAGCCATCATTCCATAATTGCAGGGGCAGAGGTGCCTTGTCAGGTTGAGCTCATCAGCTCTTCCTCTTGACAACCAGCAGCTCTGGGTCCACCGCCTCATCTTTGGACCCCCAGAGGCCATACCTCTGAGACGTCATGGCTTCCCACAGACCTCTTCCTGCACTGTCCCTCTGTGAACCCACTTTGGTGGCTGCATGTTCTTGGTTTTTCAGATTACCTGTGACTCTGTTTTTGATCTTTCAAATATGCCTTTAAGACTTATACTTCCCCAGCTTTTCCCATAGTTGGGTAAAGTCTAATTTTTATAATAATTCTCTTATTCTGTAATATTGATAATGAATCTACCCCAACTGAACCCTGACTGATACAGGTTCATAAAGTCCTAAGATAGATTTCACTTACTTTTAAGTATTTCTGATGCACTCAGGCAGCCAAAGTTTCTTCCCTTTAAGAAGAGGTATAGATCATAAGCCCCCTTAGTCTAGAACCACCACCAACAGCCACAAAAGATACTTGTTTGAGACTGACTTTTCTCCCCTCCCTTAGGTCCGTGGGCCAAAACATAGGAAATGATAAACCAGATAACTAAGCAATAACAGAAGAAAAAGGGAGAGGAGGATGTTCCAAGAAGGGGGTACAGGATGTGCAAAGATCCAGAGGTCCGGACTCCTCGTTGTCTACCTTAGGCTTGTTGTGGAAAGAGAATGAGATCAGGAGCATGAAGGCCCTCAGTAAATGGTACAAAGATGTGCAGATAGGAAATCAGCTTAGAAGGTTCACTTATAAGAAAGACTTTTTGCATTCTGCTCTTTAGTAGTTTCTCGGAGGTCTTCAGTTCACCTCTGTGCTCCAACCATCAGACAACTAGAATTTCAAAGGACATAATTATGTGGTTAGTGCCAGCAGGGCCTAGAGCATTTGGCTCAGAGAAAACCATTGTCTGCTTCTGAGCCACTAGGAAAAAGGAACGGAGAGTACTTAAAGACCAGTTTACTCTCCTTTCATGCCAGGACTTTTCTGGAATGAAAGTGTCCTGGCAACCTCTGAATTACTTCACCTTTCCTGCCCTGGACCCTTTCAGTTTATTTTTTCTCCTTTGTCCCTAGGGCAAGTCGGGGAGAAATACAGCTAAAGAATCTTGACTCCAACACTTACTTGCTGTGTGACTGTGGGTGGGTTATTTCAACTCTCTGCCTCTCAGTTTCTGCAAAGGCAAAATGGGGATTAGGACTGATTTCATGAGGTTGTTGGGAGGATTTTTTTTTTTTTTTTAAGATTTATTTATTTATTTTTAGAGAGAGAGGGAGCGCAGGGAGGGGCAGAGGGAGAGGGAGAGAGAAAATTTAACAGACTCCTCACTGACCTTGGAGCCCGACGTGGGGCTTGATCTCAAGACCCTAATATCATGACCTGAGCCGAAACCAAGAGTCAGACGCTTAACCGACGGCGCCACCCAGGGGCCCCTGTTGTAAGGATTAAGTGAGTTATATGTGTTGGGTCTTGAGAACAATGCATAGTACACTATGAGTGATCAGCAACTGTTAGCTGATACTATTACAATAAAAATAATTTTTATTATTACTATGGAATCAAGAGGTCAATTGCAGCTTCCTTGGCATGTTGTGATATTCTCCATAATCTTTATTTCCATCATTTTCTTCTTAGAGAAATCAAGTGACTTAGAAGATCAGTGATTCCTGACTAGTAATAATATGGTTTACCAATTCTAGTGCACGTGAGCAGATATTGGTCCAGCTCATCTATTCAGAGTGTAACTTTGAGGAGGGAAGGAACCAGTACTTAGCCTCGGCTCTCCCCCACCTACCACTCCACCTTTTTCCTTCCCTGTTGAGCCAGGGAACGTGTCTCTGTGTGTCTTCTCCACATGCTTTCCTCCTACTCACCTGCTCCTCTGGTTCCTGCCCCCATCTTGCCACTGAAACTACCTTCCCAAAGGTGACCGACATCTTCCTTATTTCTAGATCCAGTTAACATTTCCTTGCCTACTGTCAACTCCTGCCTTCTGGAATCATTCTCGTAGCAGGCTTCTAGGGTACCTCACTTCTTCTGTAGGCATTTTTCTTACCACCTTTCCAGCTGCCCTTTATTCTCCAGTTCTTTTCATTCTTTTCAGCTGTATTCTTTTGCCCCCTGCACCCCTTACACACTGGTGTTCTTCAGGCTCTATCCTAGGCCATCTTGTCTTCTCAAGACACACCTCTCCCGAGGGAATCTCATCTGGTCCCAAGACCCAATCCTCAGATATAGAGACTTCTAGTTCTGTTCCTTTGTCTTGAAATTCAGACTCAATGTCCTCACTGGGTATTGCCACCTACATGTCACAAAGGTGCTTGAAGCCCAACTTGTCCTAAAGTGAACCCATTACCCACCTCCCTCCTGTGCTCCCTCTTTCGATGACTGGCACCTCACTTGTCAGATAGCTTGACCTGCCTATACTTGAGAATCACCCCAACATCTTGCTGCTGCTTCTCTTTCATCTCTCCATGTTCTATTAATTTCTACATCTGTCAACTTTACTTCCAAAATATCCCTGGGGACAGACATTTTTTTTCTCCTTCCTTGTTCCTTCTCGTTCTGACCACCATGGTCTCTCCCTACTGATCAATGGCTATAGCCTCTTCATTGACCCCCCACGACTTCATTCTTGACTCTTTCAAATTATTCTCCACTGGGTTGCCAGAATTACATTTTGTGAATGGAAAACTGGCCCTGATGCTTTCCTACTTAAAACACTTCAGTGATTTCCAATAGCTTCAAGGATAAGCTTGAAATACCTTAACTGATCTTTCAAGGCACTGCATCATCAGGTCCCTGCTTACCCTTCTGGCCTCATTTCTGCCTACCCCCAGCCCCAGTCTCCTGTAGTATTACATATGCTAGGTCCACTGATCTTTCAATTCTCAGAATGTGTCCCCAGGTCCTTGTCTGGAAGCCCCTTCTCAAATAACTACAGCTCATTCTCTAGGTCACAGGTAGAGGTTGCTTCTTCTACAAAGTTATTCCTTATGCTCAGGTATGGCCTAGGTCCTCTCTGGTGGGGCCTTGGAGGGGTCTTCTGAGAGCTCTGTCCTCTTCCTTGTGATTTATTTAGAGTTTGGGCTCTGGAGTCGGGCCACTGGGATCTGAATTCCAGCTCTGCCACCTGTTGCTACTTTTTAACTCAGTGAACCTCAGTTTCCTTATCTCTAAAATGGGTCTAATAGAATCTATTTTACAGAATTGCATGTTTCTTTCATTAAAATAGGGATTAAATGGCATTCAATTCATTATTTGTATTCATATTAATGGTTTAAAATCTATTTTTTTATTTGAATTTAAACTGCAGAATGGCAGGGACTATGTCTATCCCTGAATGCCCACTGCTATAGTGCAGGTAATAACTCAATACAAAGACACTGAATAAATTACTAAATGTGATTTGGTATTTTGATTATTTTTTTTTAAAATTTAGCATTATCTTATATTTCCCATGCAGTTAAGTACTTCTCTATTAATTGCTTTCTGTTGGTTGATAGTGTATTGCATAAATGTTCCAGAAATGATTTAACTATTGTATTTCAATACTTTGTTATTTTGAATAATATTGTGACAAACATTCTGGTGTATCATTTTATGTCTGTATCTTATATTATTTCCTTAAAGTCCTTTTCTAGAACAGAAATCTTGTTAACATGTTCTGGAACTCTCTATTTAATTTCCTGTCACGGTTTACAAAACATTCACACTTACTGTTTGGTGACTTTCTCTTTCTCTCTGATGGCTTTGGGATAAGTAATACCCAAAACCTGAGGCTCAGCCTTATTCATCCCTCTTGCCCTCCACACTAGAAGTTCATGTTCTTGTACCTACACTGGGAGCTAGCAACACTTAAACCTCTGTCTTTTAAGATTTATTTATTTTAGGGTTTTGTTTTGTTTTTGTTTTTAGAGAAAGTGCATGTGAGTGGGAAGGGGGCAGAGGGAGAGGGAGAGATAGAATCTTAGGCAGACTCCACCCTGAGCACAGAGCCCCACTCAGGGCTCGATCCCACAACCATGAGATCATGACCTAAGCCAAAATCGAGAGTTGGACACCAACTGACTGAACCACCAGGTGCCCCTAAAACCTCTTTCTTTTTAAAAAATATTTTATTTTTTTATCATGATAAGTATACTCTTTAATCCCCATCTCCTATTTCAGCCATCCCCCACCCACCTCCATTCTGGTAACCATCAGTTTGTTCTCTGTAGTTAAGAGTCTATTTCTTGGTTTGTCCCTCTCTCTTTTTTTCTTTTGCTCATTTGTTTTGTTTTTTAAATTCCACATATAAGTGAGATCATATGGTATTTATCTTTCTCTGACTTATTTCACTTAGCATAATACTCTCTAGTTCTATCATGTTGTTGCAAATGGCAAGATTTCATTCACTTTTATGACTGAATAATATTCCTTTGTATGTATACTACATCTTCTTTATCCACTCATCCATCTATGGACACTTAAATTGCTTCCATATCTTGGCTATTGTAAATAATGCTGCATTTAACATAGGAGTGCATGTATTCCTTTGAATTAGTGTTTTTGTATTTTTGGGGGTAAATACCCAGTAGTGTGATTACTGGATCATAGGGTAGTTTTATTTTTAATTTTTTGAGGAAACTCCAAACTGTTTTCCACAGTGACTGCACCAGTTTGCATTCCCACTAACAGTACATAAGAGTTTCTTTCTCTCCACATCCTCACCAACACTCATTTCTTGTGTTTTTGATTTTAACCATTCTGACAGGTGTGAGGTGATATCTCATTGTAGTTTTGATTTGCATTTTCCTGATGATGAGTGATGTTGAACATCTTTTCATGTATCTGTTGGTCATCTGGATGTCTTCTTTGGAGAAATGTCTGTTCATGTCTTCTGCCCATTTTTTTAAAAGTAGGATCCCACCCAGTGTGGAGCCCAATATGGGGCTTGAACACATGACCCTGAGATCAAGACCTGAGCTGAGATCAAGTCAGATGCTTGACTGACTGAGCCACCCAGGCCCCCCTCTTCTGCCCATTTTTTAATTAGATTATATGTTTATTGGGGGTGCTGAGTTGTGTCAGTTCTTTATATATTTTGGATACTAATCCTTTTTCAGATATGTCATTTGCAAATATCTTCTCCCATGTCTTTTAGTTTTGTTGATTGTTTCCTTCGCTGTGCAGAAGCTTTTTATTTTGACGTAGTCCCAATAGTTTATTTTTGCTTTTGTTTCCCTTGTCCCAGGAGACCTATCTAGAGAAATGTTGCTATGGCTGATGTCAGAGGAGTTACTGCCTGTGTTCTCTTCAAGGATTTTTATAATTTTTAGGTCTCACATTCATGTCTTTAGTCCATTTTGAATTTATTTTTGTGTATGGTGAAAGAAAGTGGTCCAGTTTAATTCTTTTGCATGTGACTGTCTTAAGGAAGAAAAGATAAAACTCTTTGAAAAAAATAACAAAAATATATTTGTTATATATTGTGGGTAATTGAGGGAGAAAACTAATGAAAAGAAGGGAAGGAGAGAAAGGGGAGAGAGTGGGAGGAAGAAGGAAAACGAGAAAAAGAGAAGGGAATGAGAAGATGAGAAGAGACCTGAAATCACATTTTAGGAAAGGGACAAGAATTAGAGAATTAGAAAGGAAAAAAACAGAAAAAAAAAAATCCTGCTATAGCAAAACACACATTTGGGGCCATTCCACATCCTTGTGGTTTACATTTTGTCTGGCAACCTTTCAGAGGTTTGAAGAAGCTACTGTGATTCCATAACATTAATTTTGATTTTTCTTTTGCTTTTCTCCAGGGTAAATTTACCTAATTCTATCTATTGTTCTTCTGAGGACATTGTTTCCATACCCCTCAATAGTCCAGTTCCCACTTTTGGGTAGTGTTCCATTTATCAGCATCCCTATTCAAGTGTGGCCCTCAGAGTTGGACAGGGGATTCCTGAGTGTTCCTCGTGTGAGCCAGTGAACTCAGAGTGCACGGCACTGTCCCTTCCTGCGCTTGACACAGGAAACTTCTCTTTACTCTCTTTTGCTCTCTGCCTGTCCCTCTCTCAGACATTTATAGCAGTGATTCTAAAACATCTTGGTCTTAGATCTCTTTGCTCTCAAAAAAATGGTTGAGGATTACATACAGATTTTGTTTATGTAGATGGTATCTACTGATATTTACCATATGAGAAATGAAGACAGGAGTTTTGAAAATCTTGATTTATTAATCATTCAAAAATAAACCCGTTACATGTTAATGTAATTAGCATTTCTTTATGAAAGACTTTCAAAACCAAAAAGTAATATGGGGGAAAATGGCATTGTGTTATATCTTTACAAATCTTTTTAACATCTGGCTTAATAGAGGACAACTTGATTCTCATCCACTTCTGCATTTAATTGCAATGTTGCAATGTGTGTTTTGTTGAAGGATATAAATAAAGGCTGGCCTCGCTCGGGGGCATAGTTGGAAAATGGGGGAATATCTTAATGGTCTTTCAGATAATTGTGGATATTCTTTGATATTACACTAAAACTTGACAAGTGGTAGTTTCTAAAAGGTTAGTTGCAGTGTGGAATCTGGAGGCCTATCAATAAACTTCTCATATTTTATTACATAGAATCCATTGGTCTAACTTACACTTTATTTAAGTGGATCTTTAACCCATGCATGGTTTTTTAACTTCATGCACTGGTCGTTGGGAAAATACTAGTTCACTGAGTTATACTGATCTTCTAAATGTTGACACATTTCATTCTATAGTACCCCAAATAATCACATTCATTAACATATCCATCAATCTTTAAGTATCGGGAAGCTAACAAGCTCATGGTAGCAGATATAAATCTTTCAAAATTCACTTGAAACTTGAATATTACCATTGGCAGCAAACATTTCTAGTGATTTTCCTTGAAATAACAGGCTCACTTCATTTATTTTTGAGAAAATGTCTGCCAAATATCCACATCTGAATAACATGGCTTGTTGGTCAGTCAGTCATTCTTTCAAGTGAAAATGTGTTTTCATGACAAAGGTGGCTCATTCTTATTGCAGACCCGCAACTGCTGGTGTGTTTTTCCTCCAGACAACCATCACACTGCAGGGCCCTGCAGAAGTCCTTTATGCCTGTCTGGATTTTATCACCCAGAACATTACCAAGAAGTATACTCAAGGGTCCAGAGTTAATAAAATTAACGGTGTTTACTGCTTAATAAAACACAGTGTTAAATGAAACAGGCTTTTTCTTTCTTTTTCTTTCTTTCTTTCTTTCTTTCTTTCTTTCTTTCTTTCTTTCTTTCTTTCTTTTCTTTCTTTCTTGTAGGTGCTGCGTACGGTGAAGAGTGCAATGATGAATCGCACAGCTGGGTGCCACCACCTGGATCCTGAGTCTCAGCAGTTTGATCCACCATTACTTTTGTACCATCGGTGTAAATGTGCCAAAGGCACCGTAGTAGCTTGCAACTAGTTTTGGCTTTGTGGATCCCTTGAAAGGATCTCAAGGACTTCCAAAGGTCTGTGGACACACCTTGAGAACTGACTGTTTTCAGGATGACTACCGGTTCCATTAGTTGAGTCTTACACTGATCCCATCAATGGTGGCTGGGCTGCCACCAACAGGTTGGGGGTTTTCAAGGAGGTAACACTAATAATAACAGGGACTAACATATCTTAGGTGCTGCTTTAGATGCTCTTCATACATCATCCCCTGGCAACCCTTGAGGTAGGTTCTGTTTTATCCCACTTTCAGATGAGGAAACGGAGGATCAGAGAGGTGAGTTCACTTGCTGAAGAACACACAACTGGGAAGTAAGAGAGTCAACATGAAACTCCCGTCAGTCTGACTCCAGAGCCCACGCTCTGAACTGCTTTGTTATTGCTGGAGAGGCTAACAGGATGGGCCAAGTGAAGAAACAACACGTCAGAGGGGCAGGAGGTCAGAGTAGTGACTGAGAATCTTGGACCCAAGGGTTTAAGTAGCAATTCAAAGGTTTCCTCCAAATCTATTTTCCCATCTGGTTCTCACAAAGGCCCTCTGAGTTGGCTGGTGAGAGTTCTTATTTCCATTCTATAGGTAAGGAAGTTGATTCTGTCTAGCAGAGAAGGATCCCTTTGTAGCCCCAGAGTCATATAACTGGGCGAGCTCCACCTTCTCACCCAATGCCAAGGACCCAAGGCCTTTTCTAGCAGCTTTCCCCCTTTGGGGTATCCTGCTGTCACATGCCTTGGAGGGGAACTTGGCAGAATAGGCAGTGGTGCCTTTGCTTCTGGAGAGAGAGAGAGAAAGGAAGGGCGGGCCCACTGGCCCTGGTGCCATAAGGGAAAGTGAGCCGAGGTCCAGGCACTGCTCTGAGCAGCAGTGAGAGTGAGCCCTCCTCACTTTGGGGTCTGTGACGGAGACTCAAAGGGGCTCCCCATTTGGCGTGGGGAGTGCAATTTACATGAAACCAGAAACAGTTTATCTGCCAATAGAAGAGGAGGCACGGAGGGGTGGGGGAGAAAACAGGCTGGAAAAATACACTGAACTCTTTGAGGCCACTGACAAGGAGATTCGAAGGAACAGAGAGAAAGGTGCCCAAATGTAGCCCGGATATCTGTTTCTATAGAAGGAGAAACTGAGTCCCACAGAGAAGAAGGAACTTGCCAAAAGTCACACAGTCGGTAAAAATGCCATGTTGGCCCCCAGACCCCTTGATGATTCACAGCACTCTCAGAAAAGAGACAGTATTTAGATAAATAAAAGCAAGCCTGCCTGGTGTCTCCCTCTCCTGTTTTGGAGCAAACAGAGGTGCTCTGTTGACTACTGGTAGCCAAGGTGCTTTGCAAGGAGAAGCTCAAGCTCTGGGGAGCCGTGCTCCTTCTCCAAAACTCTTGCAAACAGGGGCTGAGAACCAGGATGGAATTTCTTTGGCTTCTCAGGACTTCTCCTGGGGTTCGTGATAGTGTTCCTTCTGCATACCACTACGGGGGTTTAAATTCCAAGTGGGCTTTATGTGCGGTTCACTCTGAGATTCTTTCCCTTTCAATGAGTTGATTCTGCCTTTGTTCTTTTGTTTATATTCCCTGACAATCAACAGTTCCTGAAAGTTAACTGGCCTCCTGGATGCGGAAGAGGGGAAATTTCAGGACAGTTCCTGAACGTCCAAGCCTTCAAAGCCCCATGCAAGGCCAGGCCAGCAAACAGCCTCCAGAATAAAGGGGGGATCCTTTCTGAGTCAGGGTCTGCTCCAGATGGAATGCCTGTTCTCAACTCAGCATTCTTGCTGGTCTCCCTGCCCCAGGGCAGTGTCCCCCTCGCCTTCCATAGGAGGCTCTGTGTAGGAAAACCTTTCCAGGAATAAGGGGAAGATCGCCTGGTCCCCCAGCTCCTTAGCAGGCTGAGTTCAGAATTTTAACAATTAGGAATTAATTCTTCAACTTCAGGTTTTGTTCCCTAGGACAAAAGGCAGCATTATATTATAGGACCTCCTCCCCCTCCCTCCTCTTCCCCATCCTCCTCTCTCTCCTCCCCCTCCTCCTCCTCCTTCTTCTTCTGTCCACAAATATTGAGAATCAGTTATGTTCAAAGTCCTGTTTTTAGAGCTCAGCAGTGACAGAAGGAAACAAGTTCTCGGTGGGGCTGACAATACATAACTGGGGAAGTGAGAGAATCTATAACGTAATGTCAGGCTGTGTGTGGATCCACAGTGTAGGCGAAGGGCCTAGAGCATGGCAGAAGGACGGTTTAGATGGCATAATTAGGGATGGGCTTAGTTAGGACTAGGGTCGCAGGAGAGGGCGGAGGAGGTGATATTTGACCTGAATGAAGGTAGGACACCTGAAGGAATCGAGAGAATGTGCCATGAAGCCATCTGGGGAAGACACCTCTACTTGCCAGAATGGTCACCCCAAAAATGCCTTCCACCACTGGATCGCACAGGACCAGCTTCATTCTGCTTCCCTGTGATATCCTCCTCCACATTCCTGAAGACCTTTCTTAGGTCCCATTAAAACCCTTCTTATCCCAGCAAATCTCACTGTTACTTCTGCCTAAAGTTACTTTTCGTGGAAAACTTCCCTTAAAAAGCCCTCCCCAAACAGCCATTCTAGAATCTAAGGTTAGCTGACTGGGTCTTTGTTTCTTCTTCTTCTGCCATTCTTGATCCTCACAGGATTCCACAGCTTCAGAGTTGGAAGTGCCCTCTGAGCTCAGATGGCCCCAACCCCCTCATCTTGGAGATGGAGAATGTAAGGCCCTGGCCCAGGAACAACCTGGTTCCTGGCTGGTCACGGGGTTAGTTACAAAAATGGCATAGTGGGGCCCATACCCAGGTGTCCTACTGATGCAGTGCTCTTTCTCCATCCCCTCCACCCCACACCACAGCCCACAGCACTGTTGGTCCACAATTCTCTTCTATCCTTGGAGAATAACAATAATAGCACATGTTTCTCCAGAACTCTGGTTTCCTTCTGCAATGTTGTTCTGTTCTTCTCTGAGGACATTTTCTAAGAAGGGAAACTCTCTGTAGGTTTCTTCTTTTCTTTTAAACTAAATATTATCTTTTGCTCTACGCCAGCCTCTGTGCTAAAGGCTTTCTACCCAGGATTTCATTGAACACTCACAACCCTTTTGTGAAGCGTTATTATAATCATTCTTATTGAAACACCAGAAAGCCCACGTTCAGAGAGGTTGAATAACTGGCCCAAGTTCACACAGTCAGAGAATGGTGGAGCTGGAATAAGAACCCAGACAGGGGGACTCCAGAGCCTGGCCCCTCATGCGACAGGCCAGTCAGATCTTTGGGTGTAACATCTGCTGCCAGCCAAGGCAGAGTGCTCCTGTGGGAGCCTCTATGTCTTTGTCTTTGGCCATTTTGGTTACTTTCTTCACCTCCATTGTCATAGTGGGTAGACCAGACAAGGAGCCTACTGGCCCCCAGCCTTTTTCCGGGAGGCTCCTGACACATAGGTTGACCATGCTTAGCATCACCTGACCTTGACACTCTGGCCACAGGTGATGTAATTCAGAATGGTAGCTTGACCCAAAGACTACCATCTATGGGCTGGTTGGCAGCTGTGGTGTGAATGCTCTGACCAACAGACAGGGGACTCACTAAACCTGTCAGACCTTGTCTCTTGGAGAGCTGTAAGATAGGGTGAAGGCACTGAATGGTGCTCATAATCAGAGGGGGCAGAGACAGATGCCCATGGCTTATGGACACATGAGATAATCCAGTCACTCAGTGTGAAAAACTGTCTAGTGAACAATATTCTGGCCTCCATGGGGTTTGGCTCTGTGGCTCAGATGGTTTCTTATCTTCTTTACTTTTCTGTGAATTCTTAAAATAAACCTCTGGTAAATGAATATCATGAGTGGGTCTCTGTCCGTGCTCTCTGGAAGGGGCAAATAACCCTCCTCAGTCTAGGTCCCTTCAGGTGCTTCAATTGGCTTAGCTGGCCATCCTCCTAGTACCAAGCACCCACATCAGCCAGGACTCCTTCAATCATCACTTCACCAGCCCTTTGCTAGGCCTGAGACCAGTTTCCCAAAGGGAGGCTTAGGAACCATCGGGCAGATTCCTGAGACCCACCTCAAATCTGGTGAATCAGAATTTCTATGAGTGGCACCTAGGGATGGAATGTACCCAAACTCCTTGGGTGGTTTTATTCCCAAGTGATTTTTATGGATCCTAAAGTCTGAAAACAATGGTCATGGACAGCTGCTTTTGGGTCAGACATTCATCTCAGGTTCTACCAAATGTAGATACCATGCATCCCACGGAGAGTAAACCTCTGTTCCACTGGGGGAATGGAAATGGGGAGTACTGGGTCACAGCAGCCAACAGCTGCTGATATGTTTTAGGAACTAATTACACCAGAGATTACAAAATACCATCCATGAGCTTAATTTGCAGATTGCAGAAGTATTACTTTTTAGAGATTTTGAATGATGTGCCAACCTCAGGATCAGAAGATTTCACATGCACACAAAAGCTGATTTCTGGCTTTCCTCGAAAATCTGGAAGATCTAGTAGCACTGAGCCTTCATTCTGTTTGGCAACAATTGACTGTTACTGAAGAGCAGATGCCACCTTTAGACGGGGCCTGGGTGCCCCTCCTACTACAGGATCCCCCTTGCCTCTAGTCTCTCCAAATTTGAGACTGTGTCAGTGGCTCCAGAAAAATGGGAGTGAACACGTTTCTTGGTGGAGGTAGAGAATATTCCTTCATGCTTCATAGGTCAATTTTGTGATTGTCTTGAAAACAACACAACTCAAGATGGCTCACTTAACTTAGGCCTGATGTATGCCTGATCCTAAAGGCATTTGAGATGGGACCCTGGACTCTGACTCCCAGATCCCTCCATGGGGCTGCAACTAGAAGCTAAGTACACCACAAAACCAGAGACTATTAGCATCCGATTATGGAGTGCCACATCTTCCTCATGCAGATGGAAAGATGGCAGCCCAGAAAGAGGAAGAGCCTTTCTGGTGGTTACCCGGGAAGCGGGGCTTGGCCGCCAGTCCTCCTCCAGAGCATCATCTACCTTCCCCCCTCCGCCATCTACAGCTGGAACTATCCCTTCAATTTTTCTCACAGCTGGTCATATCATTTTTTTCTGGATGTTTACCATATTCCAAGCACAGTGCTGAGAAAAGTGTCTTAAAAGCATTGTCTGATTTAATCGTTATTCCTGTTTGACAAATCAGAACACTGAGGTTTACAGTCATTCTGCTTATTCGTGGAAGAGGAGGGACCTGAATCCAGGTACGGGTGCGATCAGGCCTTCCACCCTGTGCAACCTCATACTGTAAACCATCAGCCCTTCCAGGGAGACACCATGCTGTTCCCATTTTATAGATGGTGGCAGCAAGAGGCTAGGTGGCTTAAGTGGCTTGCCCAGGTTCACGCAGCGGGTCGTTGATAGAGTTAGGACTGAAGGCTAGGTCTGACTCCGGGGCTCCTAAGCTGTGGCCTCCTTCATTGCTCTTCTGCCCCCCCATGGAACCCCTGGAAACCTTCCAAGAGTTCATTTGCATCACTTGGTCTGAAAGCACCCTTCAGAACTTAGTAACATACGTACATTCGGGGGTATGGAGGGGCAGGGTCCCTTCTATGGTGCACTGAGCATCCCTGTATAGCTTTGCGACCTGGCAACGTTCTGTGCCAACCACACCGAGTGGCAGCCCCAGCCTAGACCCCCGGGGAAATGACTCCGATGGACAGGGGATTGGAGTGAGCAGGCAAGAAGGGGCCTCTCCACTGGCACACAGCGAGAGAGCTAACTCTCCAAAGACTAGAGCCCAAACTCTCCAGAGCCCAACCTAGAACACAGGACCCAGACTGTTTTCTGCATCACCCTTTCTCTCTCCAACACATGATGCTGGTTCCCTCCTATTCCAACTTCAGCAGTCAAATGCTGGGACCTGCTTCAATGTCTTTTTGTTGTCTTGACCTCACTTTGTGAAACACGATGGCAGTGGCCTTATGGCTTTGTTTCACTTTGTGAAAGATGAGGCAACCAGCCCTGATCACTCAGGATCCTGACGTCCCAGGAAGAGTGGCCTTTGTCAGTGGTTTTACCACCATGCTCCGAAGAAGCCTCAGGTTTCCTACAGCTACTTCCGAGATTTTGAAAATAATAACATCTTTGCCACCAAAGAATAAAGATTCAGTCTGACGAAGGAACATGTTAATCACTCCCTCAAAAATGTATTTTATACATTGGGGTTTAGACATCATTTAAAGAAAGCATTCTGCTGCTAAGAAAGATAGCGAATCTCACTTTCTAAAATGTCGTGGGTCATTGAGCTACAGGATACATCTGCTCAGAGGTAGAAAGGTATCATGGATCAAAGTCAAATATCCCAGCAAAGCAGAGGAAACCAAATCTTCACCTTGGGCTAACCAAGTACCTCGCTGAAAGGTGACCCTACCTTCCCAGCATCCCCTCCTTGGTCTGCCGGGACAACGGCAGGGTTTCCCCTATCCCTGCTGGGCATGCATTGACCTGCCCCTTCTTGGAATCGGAGCCCGGGAGTGGCCAGCTATCCCTTGGCAAGAGGGTCTGAACTTGCTGGTGGCTCTTACTACTCAGGCTGGCCCATAGGATTCTCTACATTTCTACTCCGGGTTCGAGAAACCAGAGACCTGGCTACATATCCTAGCCCTGGGACGTGGAGGCCAGGGGTGCTGGGGAGGGAGGGCTGTGAAGTCTTCTGGAAATGCAGCTATAGCTGGTATTTCCTCCTCTGTGAGTACAAGGATTAGGAAGGTCCGTTCACGCAGGAACAAGCTTGAGAAAAGCAAACAGATGAAGCCGATATACACTCAGGCCTGTTTTCCTCTGTCTCCTAGAGCCTCCCCAGTGAGGGCAGGCTTGTGTGCATACACACGCGGAATCACATGCAGATTCAGTTTGGTTGTAGTTCTTAGTAAAGTGGTTTAACTAGTCAGGTCAGATAGCCTGCTTGTCTGCCTCTCTCCAGCCAGACTTACCACCTCTCCTGCTTGTCTTTTTCTACTGTAGGTAAATAACCACAGGGTTCTGCCCACTGCAGCCCTGCAGCCAGGCCTGGGCTCCCTGGCAGCTGGCCCAGCCATGGACCCCTCCCAGGGCTCATCTCCTCAACATGGCCAAGGCCAGACTCCAAGGTCCTCAAGATCTCGGAAGTGTAGAGCTGGGCAGGATTGAGCCATCCTTTGCAAGCTTGTCGATTTTTTTTTTTAAAGATTTTATTTATTTATTTGAGAGACAGAGAACGAGAGAGAGAGAGAGCACATGAGAGCGGGGAGGGTCAGAGGGAGAAGCAGACTCCCCGCTGAGCAGGGAGCCCAATGCGGGACTCAATCCTGGGACTCCAGGATCATGACCTGAGCTTGAAGGCAGTCGTCCAACCAACTGAGCCACCCAGGCGCCCCTGCTTGTCGATTTTACATGTGGGAGAGGTGGAGGCCCAATATCTCAGGAGGAGGAAGACGTGGCACCTCTAACTTCCAAAGAGGTGCACGGGATCTCTGCATCATGCTGGAAACCTCTCTTAATTCAAATGGCGGCCCTTGGGTTGCACCGACCCCATAGGCGTGTTTTGTTTGGTCCATGCAGTGTGGGATGCCACACATTGTTTTGTAATTTAAACTTAAATTTTTAAATGGCAAATGTCAGCCCCCCAAAGTTCAGATTTCTGACTTCTCTTGAAAACTTACACATCTGGCAACCTAGATCGCCATTCCCACGTGGCAGGAGTCTGCCAAAGGTGAAGAGTCACTGTTCCTTTTAGGCTTAATTCGTTTCTCTTTCCAGTTGAACACCTGTAGGCATTTGTATCTGCAACCTCTGTCTGAATTAAAATAATAAAAGAATATTGATAATTGTTGATGTAGAGTGAGTATCCCACTGCTGGTAGACACCATGCGAGGGACTTCCCATAAGTATGCTATTTGCTTCTCCCTAAAGCCCTGTGAGGTCGATTTATTATCATTCCACTTTACAGATGGAAAGTAGAGGCTCATGTGAGTTCAGAGATTTGTCCAAGGTCATACACGTAAGAAGGAGCAGAGCCAGGATTAGAAGTCAGATTTTCCCAACTCTAGAAACTATGCTGATTCCAAGGTGTGGGTAGACTCTATTCCTGGACAGAACTTTCAGGAAGGTAACCCTCAAAATTTCTCCAATCCTTTTCTATACATTTGGAGTTTTAGTCTCTGTTTCCAATAGCCAGAGGGATTTTGCTGCTTGCATGTCTATAGGTATTCACCAAATGAGGAATGTAACAGACCAGAGTTGACTTTGCTTTAGTCTCCTTTCCAGACTCTTAACCCCATCCGTTCTTCCTGACTTCTCTGCTCATGCCGCAGTGGCTATCCCTCCCTTTCATGAGCCATGCGAGCACTTAGACTTCATCACCTCCTCTCCCCTTCCCTGATCATTGTTTTCAATCAACATCCAGCCAGACACCAAATCCTGTTCATACGTTCTCCGCATTTCTGGTTTCAGACCTTTGCTTTCTGTCTTCCTCCCACCTCAAATCCAGTCTTCGAGGCATTGCCTTGTTAATCTTCTTAAAGCATTGGTTAGACCCCATCACCCCCTCCTTATACTGGCCATCCACTGCCTGGTGGAGGCAGGGTCTCCTTCTTTGGCATAGCCTTGGAGATGCTCTACGAAGTTGGGGAAATTACTCCAGGCATAGCTTTCTATAATCCTCTTTACATTTCCAGCCCTTTACGTTTCCAGTTAGCCAAATCTACCTCTTCCCAACTTCTCAAATGTTCCCAGGGCTCTCTGTGTCTAGAAGCCTGTCCCTTTTGTTTGGAATGCTCTGCTGCTCAGCCTTCCTTGTGGAATTCCACTCGATCTTCTAAGGTCGAGCTCAAAAGCCACCTCTAGGAAGGCTTCCCTGAACAAACTCTTCGCCTCTCAGTTCCTTAGGCACATCTCACCATGTGACACCTGTTTATGGGACATCTATTATGTGCCAGGCACTGTGGATCCTCATTCATGCATTCTTCCAACTTCCGGCAAGTCCTTCCTGAGTGCTTACTATGGGCAGGCACCGTCCCCATATAAGAGATACAATACTCGCTCCCTGGACATACTATCAGTGCCATGAAGAAAATAGAAAGCCACTGAGTCTGATTCACAGGACAAGATCAAAACACGCGAAGAGCGAACAGGGCCCACCAGACATCAAGGGACGCATGCTCCTGGGATGTGCAGACCCAGTTGGACCTGCCCAGGAGCAAAAGTTCAGGAAAAGCCTCTGGCCGTTCCATGGCTCCCCCTGCATCCTGACTCCCTCTTTGATGTGGACTTCTTGTTTCTCTCTCTCCCAGGGCAACGCAGCAGCCCCGAGAAGGATCAGCATCTGTGGACGCAGGAGCACCAAGTGGCTGGACCCTGGGGGCTCTGTCCTCCCGCCAAAGGTGCCACTGTCGGAGGAGGACATGCAGCGCTGGCCCACGAGGCTGTGCAGCCAGAACAGAGGTTGCTGAGACGCAGGAGGATGGACCTTTCCTTCTCCAGTGAAGTCCCAAGTCTGTGGGTGGGATTGCAAGCTTTAGCGGAGAGTAGCTCAGGGTGCTGGCAGTGCTTTGGAAATTACAGGCAAATCAGCTGCCCCCTCCGTGCCCCACTCCCTCAAGTCCCAGCTGTGGAATGTCCCACGCCACCGTCCTCCCTGATGCTGGTGCTGATGAGGATTACCAGGGAACACGTGCGCAGGCTCCGTGCGAGGTGTGCTGTGTGGTTTTCTCATCTGAGGCTCGTGCACAGTCCCGATCCTTATTTTGTTGGTGAGTACACTGAGGCTCAGAGGGGTTAGGACATTTGCACAAGGGCACACCAAGCACACGGGAGTGTCAGAATTCAAACCCAATCAGACCCCAGACTCCAGAGCCCCTGTGTTTAACCACATCATTGCATGGACAACTCGCTGTTAAAATTACACCTGACCCAAGGCCTTGTTCAAATATCACTTCTACTGTGAAGTTTTCCTTGATGGCCATGTCCATCCTTGCCTGCGGCACACTGAACTGCACTGACCAGTAGTTGTCATTCATTCATTCCTTGTGGCCTGCATGTCCACTAGCCCTTCTCCAGGAACCCCCCTTGTTCAGTTAGGATCAAGGCTAACCATGCATTTAGAGCTGGTGTGTTCCCAGTTATGAAGTAGCAGCCATCACTTTCAGGACCCGAGAAAGCCGTGGGTCTTTTCCCGTGGTGTGATAGCCAGAGACCATCCAAGCCATGTAAGAATTCAGGTCAGACATATGGGGATTCAGCAAGCTGCAAAACAAGCAGGTGGAGAAATAGCAGGGAGCTCCGCTAGGCAATGCAGTTGCTGGAGGGAGAGCGTTTATAATTCTTGCCCCTCTCCTTGCAACCATCCTGCAGAGCTGAGTTTCTGAGTCTTCCCCAGAAAAAGTGAGGATCTGCTTGCGCTGTGCTCTGAGGGATTCTGTGTTGGGGGAGTTTGCCAAGTGTTTACGAAGTCACTTTAAGCAAAGCCCTTCTTTCCTCAGGATTCTGTCATTCCAGCACCTCCAAGACTCCCTCTCCACTGGGATGTCAAGGGAGCCAGCCCCAGGCCGTGCCCTGTCAAGTTCCCAGGCTCGGTCAGGTCCCAGAGAAGCCCATCCCTCTCCCACCCCACAAAGTGACCTCAAGGTACTTCTTTAGTCAATTAGAAGACATTTAGAAAAGAGGATGGCAGGAAATTTCGCTGAAGAGAACCCCAGCCATGGTATTTAGAAAGTGCAGTCCTTTTGCCCCATCCCTTCTCGAGAAAGATCTGACAGGATCTGGAGGCAGTGGTTCTCAGCATCTGTATGGAACAGATGGATCTTTGAGAATCAGAGCAAACTTATCTAATTTCTCACCACAAAAATCCCCCCTCTCCCACACACAGCTTAGTGTCCGGTTTTAGGGTATTCAGAGGCTTCTTGAAACCCATTCATGAATCCCAAGCTGTAAGCAAACAGGATGATTTTAGGTGGTATGTGGAGAAAGATTGTTTAGCATTTTAATCCTCGAGTACTTACTTTAATATGTACCCAAATCATAATTAACGCATTAAATCTGTGGTCTTGGAAATGTTTGGGGGATGAGGCTACACTAAAAAAAAAAAAATATGACCAGAATTGAAGACAATTTTAAAGGGAGTGTTACATAAATGAGCAGTGGTTCCGGGGGCCTGAGCTGGAGAAAAGCCTGGAAGATGCTGAACACAAGTGGACTTATTTTTTTTTTAAGATTTTACTTATTTATTTGACCAAGAGAGAGAATGAGCCCAAGCAGGGGAGGCAGCAGAGACAGAGGGAGAAGCAGGCTCCCAGGACCCTGGGATCATGACCTGAGCTGAAGGCAGACGCTTAACTGACTGAGCCACCTAGGCGCCCCCGCAAGTGGGCGTTTTGGACGTACTGTCCTAGTTTGTGGACCCTCCAATCTAATTTGACACTCTCACTCATCCAGGCACCTGAGGCCCAGCGGGTTTAAGCGTCCTACCTAAGGGCTCAGGGTGGGCAGAAGCAGATGCCAGGGACGTCCCGGGGCAGCCGACTCGCAGGCCAGGGCTTTTTCTGATAGCCCCATTTGTTTTCTTGTTTTCTACCCGTGCGGATTTCACCTCAGAGGGCCAAAGGAGCCCTGTCATTTTACAAGGGCTTTTACAAGTATTTTCCTTAGACTCTTCTCACTGTTTATACTTATAAATCAAAAAATGTTTCAAGATGCTTGTCATTCCTCCCACATTGTTCCAGGTTTGCCTGTGTAGAGTCTCAGGAAATGATCTGATGTCTTCCTCCAGGGGTTTATTCTGTGTAGCTGGAGTCAGAAGAGAGAGTCAGTTTTGTATGTTAGGAGGCTTCTTTCAATTTGGGTTGGCATTGTGCTTGCTGGTCAGCTTGCCAGGGTGAAAACCAAGGGTGTAGCCTATAAAGAACTTTCTTTAACTCCTCTGCCCAGGTCAGCCCCACCAGCCCCTGCAGGGAGCATTGTTCTGACTTCTGAATGCATGCCTGTAAGGACGACATGGACCTAGGGGACTGAGGCCTGGAAGAGGGTGGTGGGACAGGTGGGAGGCTGGAGATCGAATCAGAGGAGCCACAGCGGAAGGAACTGGCATTGGCCTGCTTGCACACAGACGACTCTCTGGCCCACTCCAAGGTCACTGCCTGCAGATCTTCAAAGGGTTGTTGTGGGGCCGCACGGGGCGGGTGGGCCCTACGGCAGTTCCGCTGTGCTGCAGGCCGAGCGGGCGGGCAGAACAGAGTGGTGGGTGGGCACCTGGGGAGTGCGAGGAGGGATAAGCAGCAGCTCCAGGTAATGGTCCTCATGCAGGACCGCAGGCTAGAGACCTGAATGTTTATATGAAATCTGATTTTCAAGTGGCGGCCATACATTTCAAAAACATCTGAGAACATTGTGTGGGCAAACAAAACACAACTATGAGTCAGATCCGGTCTGTAGACTATGTTGTAACTTCTGCCTCTATGGTCATGAGGTTATTTTGGGGTTCCTGGTTGCTGAGCCGATACTTAAGTCCAAGCTTGGATTCCCCTTTTTTGGGGGGGTGCCAGTTCCTATGGCAGGGACCCATGCTCAGCATTCAGCAGGCACGTGGACTGAGGACTGCATTTTCACTACTCTTGACAAAGTGGGAAGCCCTAAGAGTTGGGGGACCCCTTCTGGAGGGAAAGGAGGGTCAAGGCTGGGGAACGTGGAGGCGGTGGCATGGCTGCTGGAAATATTGTTCTAGAGGCAGGATGTCCGAGTTCTCGTGCCACTCTGCCATCCCCTAGCTGTGGGTCCTGGAACAAGTGACTTCTCTGCATCTGT